GAGAGTCACAAGAAAAAAAAGGTGCCCCCCCCCCCCCACGAAAAGGAGCCACCAAGAGCTTCTGAGAAAGAAAAAAAACAATCCAAAAAAAAACGGAGAAACATCAACCTTGGAGAAAAAGCATCTCTGAGTGAAGAGTCAACAGACGCGTTTCGAGTTGGGGCTCAGGCTGTAGGTCGAACGATGATGCGGGCGAGGCAGGCCATTCCGATGTTGAAGCCCAGCGCTTTGAGCCTCAACTCAAAAGAAAAAAGAGAAGGCACGAAAGAGGGCATCCGATACAGTAGTGGACGCAAACAGCGAGGGCCCCACAGCACACTTCGTACATCCCCATCTCTCTTTTCAGAAATCCTATCAGTCCTATATTTGCTCTTCTTTGAGAACGTGGGCTCCGCACATGTGGGCACACTCTGGCTAGACGGCAAGAAACCTCAAGAGACCTCTCGGAAGTCTGTGGCAGTCTGTGGGTCTCGGTGCCGCGCGGGGCGCCCAGGGTCAGCGCGGAGCGCAGCAGCCCCGCGGCGTAGGTGAAGCGGTCGATGGAGAAGGACAGGGAGCTCGAGAGGATCTGAGCCGAGTGGAGTGACATTCGGACATCATCTGGAGTAGGGGTCTAGCCCGGTTCCGACTTTGAGGCACCGAGGTACCGGCGGCAGTGGCAACCAGAAGGATCCAGAACCGTCTGAGAATCAGCTTCTCCTGGCCGCGTCTCCCTCGAGTAGCCCAAAGACCTGGCCCTGATGCCCTTCGCAGACTTCCCAACTCTCACTGCCTTGGCTCACTTGTTCCATGGCTTTCAGCTCACTTTGGTTCGTTTGCTTCGAGTGCCTGCATTCGTGCTTGCACTCACCATGTCCTTGAAGGGCTCGAAGCTCAAGACAGAACAAGAAGTAACTGAGCAAAAGCAGAGCAACCGCGGCCGTCGTGGTGTGCGAACAAGCAATACGCGGCACTGTGAGTCCCCCCCGGTTCCTCCCCTTTAAGCCCTTCCCTCACTTCCCTCGCGAGCGGCCCTCGCTCCTCTTCCTGAAGGTCATCACAGCGCTGGTAGTGGGCGTCGTCTTGCACCACGGCGGAGGTGCCCTGAGAGAGCACCAATGTCCGAGGGACGTGAAGACCCTCAGTGAAGAGTGAAGAGTGGAGATGAGCGGAGAGAGTGAAGAGGCGAGGAGAGTGAGGAGTAAAGTGAAAAGCGAACAAGAAGTGAACAAGAAGTGAACAGAGTCCAGTGAGTGAAGAGGTTATCACCCAGTCCCCGAGTGACTCTCAGCAAGTCTTTTCTCATTCTTTCCGCTCCGGAAGGCTCCTTCCGGAAGAGCCGCGCCATGCGGGACAAGGGCGTCTTGGTGGTGGGCGAGGCCTCAAGAGCAGGAAACACCCAGACCCTTTTGAAAGCCAAAAAGAGAGAGAGAGAGAGAGAGAGAGTTCGATGAGCAGCTGAGAACTGAACGGGAAATGAGGCATCCTGTGTGCAGGTGTCACTTGCACAAGTCAGCAAAGCGCCGGAAGAAGGCAGCCCTCTGCACCTTGCTCTCCCTAATTCCCACATTTCCCTGGGCGCCTGTCCAGCGGGGCCTCTCGGAGCAAATGCAAACAGTGCCGTGACATCGTGTGACAACCCCAAGCAGCCCTTAAGCAAGACAGCACCCGGCCGTCGAGCCGCGGTAGCGGTGGCATGGCCGGGCATTCCCCACCGTTTTCTCGAAAATTGATCTAGAGAGAAAAATGCTGAACACATTGCAGAGCGCGCCAGCCGTCTCCGAGTGTTCCCCTCAGAGTGCGCCGCTTTCAGTATCTGTCAGTCAGTCAAAAGGCGCCAGTCCGATCTCCTTTTCTAATAACTGAGAGCTTAGGTGCGGTCCGCAGAGTTTAAAGGCCGTTTGGCCTTCAGCTCGCGCATGTGATGGCTAATGTTGCGACGATGGAGGAAAGATGTCAAGAAGCCGTTAAGAGAACTCTTTGAATCTAGCATCGCGAACAAGATTGCTCAAGCAAAGGAATCACCAGTGCAACATCGTGCAGCTGAGCGGAAAATGGCTGCCTGCCTCAACAGGACTTACCGTGCCGTGGGATCTCGCCATGATTCAGACTGTAAGATACAACAGACACAGACTTTGAAACAAAGGAGTCACTGAAAGAAGAATAGGATGAGTGTAATGAGTGAGTAAGTGGGGAGATGCCTTGAGTTGAAAGCACAACTGGAGAGAAGGAAGGCCTTGCTCTCGGGCATCACTTCTGGAGCCCGGTGAGACGACGGGTGATGGGGCGCAGTTCTTGTACATGTGTTACCCTCAAAACACTGTCTACAAGAGTCTAAAAGAGCCTAACTTAAAGTCTAGCAGTCTAGCAGTCTAACTAAGATGCCAGCGAACCCTCAGGTCCAACGACATGGGGCTCCGGCACATAAGGGGGTCATTCACGAAGCGCGCAGTCACAGAGTCACAGGTGTAGGAAGATGTTCTGAGTCTAAGAGGCTCTCTCAGTTGTGGTGCTTCTTGATGCCACCTCTCACAGCGACCCCTGTGGTGGTGCCAGCAGCTCCCGAATGGAGGTCTGTACACTTCTCCAGCGAAAACTCCTGCATGTGGAGTTGAAGTTGAACACCCATATGATCCAAGAATCCGGCTTAATTAGCTTAATTCCACTCTGGCTTCTGTTCACTGTGAACATCTGTGAACTGTGCAGCCCTTCAAGGTTGCAGGAAAGGGATGGAAAGGGGCTGCTGCGAGGTGAGAGGTTGCAGAAGCTGCCTCCTTGGGATGCTTCGACTCGAAGTGCATCTGCATCGACTTCCTGAGCAGCGCGAGTCCCCAGCGTCCCCTGAAAGCCCCTCACTTGCCCCTCCCTCACTCGCATCTGAATCAAAGACTCTCTGCCAAGAGTCGGGTCGGGCGCGGCCTGCATGCAGATGTTGCACTTGTACTTGGAGTGACCCACCGATCCGCCTTGCCGGTCCTCCAGCGAAGCCAAATCAACAGGTTGACGGGTTGTGAGTGAGAAATACATAGAAATACATTGGTCAAGCAATCATCTGCTGTCTTTCGAGAGATCTGTGCTCCTTCAACCCAGCAGAGCCACCACCACGATTGCAGGTGGCATCCTTCTCCTCACAAGAAGTCTCAGAAGTGTGCAGCCAGAGGGAGACAAAGCCCACTGAATCCTCTGAACAACGAACCTATTTGGAGAGAGTGGAACATCAACCTTGAAGCTGAGGAAAATACAGCTTGGGGTTTTGCAGCAGGGTCTTCTGCAAAACAAGAACTTTCGTGTAGAAAAGCAAGCAGGGGAGCTGAAGACAATTCCCACCCAACAATCAACATCCAACAACCACGACGGTGAACATGTGTCCTTCTGAGCGAGTTCCTTGGCCGTGTGCTTGGTGGGCTTGGCTTTGCCACCCATGCCTGATGCCGGCATGCTCCAGGCTCTCTATGACTCTACGTATGGCGTGACCCCCTGCGAGCATGCCTCTTTCGCGGCTCTGCCTCACCAGATCCGCGCTGATCTGCACCGTGGCTTGAGCCAGCTCAGGGCCAGCCCGCAGCAACTCACAAGCCAAGCTTCCAAGTCACCGCTGCCACAAACAAAACGCCCAAGAAGCACGATGGTGATGATGAGAGTGATGCTGCAGACGTTACCGTTCATGATGTGAATGTAGGGAAGCACTGATCTTGCATGTCCAAAGTACTTTCGGCACAACCTACCACGTTGGCGAACGAGATGCTTTGCCCACAGGAAAGAAACTGCCCAAGCACTGAGACATAGACTCGCAATTTTTTTCAGGAGCTCAGATTGGGGTTGCACGTCGATGCTTTCGGGACTGGTACGCCCTGGCGGGGACTTTTGCGAAGAACACGCCAAAAGCCGCCAAATATTCTCTGATTATTACATATACAAGCAAAACGCACACCGCCGCAATGGCACGGCCTCGTAAGACGGGGAACCTTTCTGATGCTACTTTCTCTGTTGGGATACGCGAGCATTTCTGTATGTACTTTGCACTGGATATCGAAACAGGAGACGTAGGACCATGCGTATACAATTGCCCTTTGACATCCTTCGACTACCGTTGGCACAACCCAAACAGCTGATGAGAGCTGTGCTGCAAGGAGGGCCAGCAGTGGCTCTATAGGCCCTACGCGAGCAGCAAGCAAACTTCAATTGAGATTCACAGCTCGGTTGTTTGTCCTGCTCCGGAACAGCTTCTGAGCGCAGGGGGTTCCCGGCAGACCAAGCCCAAGCGCCCCTCAGGAAGCGTAGGCCTTCTGCAAACATGTCTTGCAAGATCTCGCGGCCCCTGTTTGAAATTTCTGTAGAAGAAGGAAGTGACTTGTTTAAACATGTAGTTCGCTGTGCTCAGCGGATGGAAACTGACACCGCAGTCGAAACCTAAACTACCTGCCAGCCTGATGTGATTGGCAACCCTAAATGCGGTCTCAATGATGCCTTGTACATAAGAAACCTGCTGGGGCTGTTGCGAGTGTGGACAGCTGCAGCCCTATATTTTGTTCTCTTAAGGAAACGCCAACCCATGAAAACAAAGCGCGCAACACTTTGAATCCGGCCATTATGCTTCTCACATGTTCTTGTTTCGGGCACGTCACAACACCCCCCTTCTTGCGATTCATTAATAGTAACCTCAAAAGGACACCATGACTAAACTGACTACACTCATACGGAGTTCCCTTCAGAACAAGTTAATTCGATCAACTCGAAACAGTGAATAAGAACCCTTCCCGACACTTTATCCAAGGTCTGCTTGATCCTGCGCAAAAGCTGTGAGACGCTGTGACACGAAGTACAGTACCGCTGTCAATGTTCAGCAAGGCCTTCTTTGAGGCCTGGCTGATGGTTGGGACAAGGGCGGGTTGCTGCTGAGTTTGGCTGAGACCGGCAAGCCCTCACCAAATGCAGAAGTGGATGAACTCCGCTTGTTGCTTGCAGAAAGGCGGCCGTTTGGCCCTAATCCTCCAAGTACAAGTTGCTTCTATTAAAATTCTCTAGGCTGCGCTCTGGAGCCAGGCGAGAGCTTTGTCACCCTGGAGCGATATGCATGGATGCCTTTGCGTGGCAGCTATGATGGCCTGTTTCACCCCGGCCTGCTGCAGAAGGTCTACACTTTCTACCGGGAGGCTTCGGATTTGCTGGCAAATCTCAAACGCTTCTTTGGCGTCGCCTCCCCGCAGAATGGCCTCAGGCGTCAAGTCAATATGTAGCGGTGCTGGAGAAACCCTTGTTTGATGATGAACTGCTGGGACTGGGCACGGCATTTTCTTGAGCGTCAACCATTTGGGGTTATGTACGTTGATGTACATTGGCCAAACTGGCCACATAAGGTCTTGCTGCTTGCTACAATACTGCATTTAGCACTGCTGGAAGTAAATGCTCATTGAGCGATGCGGGGTTCCATGGGGTTCCGATGATGGAAATTCCAAAGCATCACGTCTACCCACAACCGCGAAAGCGCCACGAGGGAAGGACGGAACCACAGCTACACCAGAACGCATTGTACTGCCTGTAGGCACCGTGTCAACGTAAGACTGTGACCAGCATGTCTCGAACCCAATGAGGTGGCTCCAACTCCTCCACAAGCGCAAGCTGTGCAGTGTGAGAGACTGTTCTCATGCGGCGACACACACACAGAGACCCGCCTCCATGCGCCGCCTTGTGTACTCTGCGGCGGCCACCTGAAGAGCAGTCACTGCAGCGCCTTTGACGTTGCGACGTTGCTGTAGGTGTTTTTTCGTGACGGTGTGATGGTGAAAGCGTGACAGGAGCCGAAAACGGCGCGAACGCCTGACCGCACATGTGCAACTGCGCAAGATGCAACGGGCCATTCGCCAAGGTGAGATCCAATTCTGGCCATGCTGCTCCGGACCCGATGCCTTCAGCCCAAAATCCCCAAGCCGAAGCCGAAAAAAGTGTCACAAGATCAAGATCAGTGGAACAAACGCATGTTGCCTTTTAAGTAGACGACGCGCGCGCATTGACACATGTGATGTCCTGTTGCCGTGGCCTTCTGCGCTGGCGTCTGCAACGACATCATGTCATGACTGAACTGAACCAAGGTCCCTAGTGCTGAAGCTCTTGCGCGATGGGTTTGCGATTTGCCCAAAACCCATCGTACTCAAGCTCCGAAAAGCATGCAAGGAAAATAGACCTCACGGAACGTGCGACAGAAAACAACAAATTGTACATCTCGGGCTTTGCAGGGCGTGAATTGTGTGACCGATAGTCCAGCAGTTTGGCGTTCGTGCTACTGTGCCTGGCTTCAGCAACACTTGTCCAGAAGTCATTGCGAGAAAGGACGGCCCTCACCGCTGCTAACCCCCAAGAGAACAGAACCGTATGACAAGGAGAAAGATCCAACAAGGAAATGGCTCCAAACACGGGAGACCAACATGCGGGAGTACGGCGAACTGTCGTCCTGCCGCAGTTTTATGTATAAGATACAGTAATTATAACAAGCATAAGATTTGGCTCCGATCTGGCATCGCTATACTGTCCTGAAGTGACGCGCGAATGAACGCAGGCATGAGCGAGCTTACAAAGGCACAAGCCACACACCAACAGAAACTCCAAAACGTCAAAAGGCCACAAGTCGCGCCTGCGTCAGTGGAACAGGCCTGAAGGCGACATGCGGCAGACTTCAGCTTCCGAGCTTGTGAGGTTCAAGAGCAAAACGTAGCTGCGGGTGTCTCAGCATTAGGCTTGGCGACGAGCTCAAGACCAACCCTGAGGAGTCTGGAAAGGTGATCCTTGGAGAAGCGTGTCGGACAGTCAGATGGCAGCAGCAATTAGACAGCCTTTCGTTTGGTCGCGGGCACGAGGAAGTTCGGAGTTGTGAAACTCATGCTGCGAGATGATGTGGTAGTCTAGCAGCCTCAAACAGCACATTTCCTGAATAAATCCAAGTAGTTTGCTTGTCGCGTTCAAAAGCGCTCAATCTTTGGCTCGGGCTGCTCCAGTGCTTCCCGCTCTGGCTCTCGTGCTTGTCGGTAAACGTCCGCCTTTGCAGGAACACGCTTCTTCAACGATTTGCGCGCCTCACCTTCTTTCTGCGCCGGTACCACAACATCTAAGAGTCTAAGGCGCTTTCCAACACCAAAGGCGGATCTGCGAGATCAGCGTCCTGCAAGCCGGGGCTGCGGAACGTTCCACATGCCATGCATAAATGCCACCCCTGCGCAGGGGAGTTGAGCTTCCAAGATTCCAATGGGTCAACAGCTACTTTTCTCGATTCCAAACGGTCGGCGTGAGTGCCGACGCACGTTCTGTTGCAAAAAATCCCATCTCCGAATCGCGCCTCTCTCCGCGAAAGATGCTTCTCTCTCTCTCTCTCTCTCGCTCGCTCTCTCGCTCTCTCGCTTGCTTGCTTGCTTGCTTGCTAGGCGTATGACTCCCCCAAGGAAGGGAGCCGCCCCAAGGGGCACGCGCGACAGAGTTAGTCGCAGTGAGCAAGGTGCTGAGAGCGCTCTCTTTCTTTCTTTCTTTCTTTCTTTCTTGGGGGCTTGAGGGCACAGGGCCCTCGGGCGATGCCCAGCATTGCGGAGCAACTCTGTCTCTCTCTCTCTCTCTCTCTCTGCTTCTCTCTCTGTGCTCGACCATCCATTGGCATGTAACCAACAAAGTCAGCCTTCCAGGCGACGGGAAATGGTTTTTGTCATGCGTTTGGGTTGTACCAAAAATTTCCTGCGCGGCAGGGCGGAATGCTTTCAACTGCTTCGGATTGCGTCGGCGCGCCTCGCAAGCTTCCAATGATGCCCGGTCTGACCTGAACGTGGAGCACTCTCTTCTGCAAGGGACTGGGCATCAGACACTCTTCTAACCTCCAGGCCCCACAGCACACCAGCATCGCTGCTGCCACGCGACAGGTCAGCGACTTCACCAGGGGAGCCGGACCATCCATCCTCGGATCACACTCAAAGGACACGCTGGACATCCCGGTGTGGCAGGATTGCGTCAAGGCTCCGACCGGGGTTTCGGGGGAGCCTGGCCTGGCTTCAAACCATCCATCCTCAGACCAACCAGCTTTGGCGGCGCTAGCGCTGTCGGGGTCATGCGCATGCGATTGATTTGGGGCATCTGAGGCCGTGACAAGCCACTGCCACAGGGAGTAATTGCCTTGAGTTGGAACACGGCGGCGCTGACATACACTGACACTGATCGAGGTCATGAGGCTTCCTGACCGAACCTGAGCGCAAAGCCCAAGTTCTGACTTTCGGAACTTGGCTCGGACCTCAGACTGAAGGACATGCAGCGCCAACCTATCCCAGCCCTGCACAACTTGGCAGTGCGTTGCATATTAGGCAAATTGCAATATTCCGGGGGGGGGGGGGGGGGGAATCTGCAAGGCAAGCTTTCTTCTCCCATGCCCATCCAATTTTGCTCTGTGCTTCTCAACTGATTACTCAGCCTTCTTGTTGCTGCCCAGCCTATCCAAGCAACCGCGGCGATGAATCTTCACACATCACCAGCGTCATCCACAACACCGACGGGGTGTGGGTGTCAATGAGTCGTAGTATTGCCTGAAATAGGTGGTGTTTCGATTCTCCGGAAAGGATCCAGGCCGCAAACTTCGCGGCATCGGAGCCTTCATTTTGCGCTCTCGCAGCTCGGCCAAACGACTTATTTAGGTTGCCATCTTCTTTTCTGGCTTCATGCTTGTCGTCCTCGCAGCTCATGTTTCAGCCTTCATGTCGGCTCTCGTTTCTGCCACATTTTCGTCTCGATTTCCATTTCCATTTTCGCCTCCATTTCCCCTATCAACTTTCCTCGCAACTTTCGTCACTGTCTCTGTCTCTGCTTCAGTCCCCGCATCCATGCCCGTCCTCGTCCTGACCCATATCAGCGTTTTTCATGGTCATTGCCATGTCCGACCCCATTTCCGCTGAGAACAGGACGCAAACAGCACCTGCCTCTCCTCCTGCTCTGCGGGCGGCTCCACGACTGGTAATGGCACCTGCAGGCAGCTGCATCTTACTGAACCTGGAGGAGCGTGCGCAAGGTGTTCTAGGAATCGCGAAAACTCGTAAAATCCTTCGAGGGTGCAGGGCCTTCTGTAGTGTGATGGCTGGCTCTTCGATGTCCTCGGTTGGCGTCGAGGGACCTGCTTGCAAGCTCAACTTGTTCATATTTGGATCTCATACGCTTGCCGGGCACGCTCCTGACGAAACCGCTGGCAAGCATGGGTCTTCCCGCCAAGCCGGCGTCCAAGCAGGCATGTTGGGATCGGGGGTGTGCTTCGGGGCGCATCTCGTGGGTGTATGTTTAACCCGTATGGGAAGGGGGGGGGGGGGGTCCAACTCAACCGTAAGCCCGTCTCACTAAGGCATTAAGGCTCAAGCTTACCGTAGTGTGTCAAGCAGTCACGCAGGTAGCCAAACTCTAGATTCTTACAAAACCCTAACGGGTGGCTAGAGACTGGGGCCCGCAGCCTCTGGGACGCAAAGCACGAAATCAAATCCTGAAGTTCGACACCCTGAGCCCAAAATCCTGACCCTAGCGGTTAGACGTCATCAATTCAGTTCGCGTGGCTCGCGTGCTCAGCGCGCCCAACATGAGCCCACATGGATGCGCGATCGACACAAACCAACATGGCACCTTCGTCGCCCCTGCAAACTTCAGCATTGGCCTCGGTATGTCATACAGCTCCACAAAACACACAGCGCGACCTTGTAAGATGACCGGTCACAGCGGTACACAGGGCACATGGGACGTCGCCATGCTCAGCACGGCCATGCTCTAACACTGCAAATTACTATAAATTACTGAGCTCCCACTCCCCACCAGGAGCGCACACTCGTGGTGGGGGTAGGGCCCCTGCCTTCTTGCGGCCTTGACCGGCACAGCATCGCGCACAATCAAGATGCAGAATTGCAGCAGTCCGATCACACAACGCTCATGCCGCCAACGCTTTTCCTTTCGCAGAGAAACGAAAGCGTTGGGTGATAAAGGTGGTGAGGCGGACCCTCCGACTGCCGTGTAAGATCTGTGCACATGTCGGCAGTGCGTGCCAACGGCCAAGCGGACCAGAGATTGCTGCAAGAGACCCAAAATGCGCACGTCGCGGCACAATGCCGCTGGTCCTGAAACCGAGGGGGCTGCTCCCTGAATACCGAATACCTGTACACTGCTCCAAACAAAGACCAGGAGTCCTGCGAAAGACCAAAGTACGCTGTACCACTGTACGAGGTCGTCCCGCGAGAGCCAGGCACCACTGCGATCAAACGCAGCCTCAAACGTCGCCCACCAGACGCCCCTTTGCCAAACTTGCGGCAGTGATGACATCCCTCACTCATCATCTGCTTTGCTGCGCTTTCGCGCCCCCGTTTCGTGAAACTCCTGTCGGCGCTTGCCTCGTGCTGGTCTTGCATCCTTCATGTTGTTAAACTTGTCACGCACCTCCTCATCTTGCAGCATTTGTGCTGCAGCAGAAGATCGTGCTTCTGTTGACGTCGATTCAACTGATCCCTCGTAGACTCTGCTACTCCAGGCTGGGACCGTCACCCTCGATCGCCACCTCGTACAGCCATTCAGCACACAGGCGATGTCTTGGTAGATGACAGTCTTCGTGGTGTCTGATTCGCCTGTCAATAGCCTTGGCTGCAAAAGCACGGGTCACACATCCAATCTACCTTACCTTGGATGACACCCGACAACAACGTCGCCCAGTTGACAGCAAGCATCTGTGCGAATTCGCCTAGCCGCCGTTGCATGGCTGGCAATGTTGTGGTCTACGACGTGTGATGTGTGTGTGTGTGATGCCATCCTTCTCAAGATATGAAGCAACTTCGCATCGCTAAGGCCGCAGTTGTTACATACGGAAAAAGAGTTGATATTCCCAAAAAGTCTGCTAGATATGCAGCATGGGCGATGAGACAAGGCATTTTGGACTGCAACGCACCGGGTAGGCAAGGATACAGGGCATTTGTGACAGATTCGCGCAGCATCTGTTGCTGCATGGATTACCCCAAGCCGCCAGCCAGCTTCCACAAGGTGGGGGGATTGCTGTGCTGGCCCTGAGGCACAGTACGAGGAGTTGCGAGCAGTCTCTGGCAGAAATTCTTCTAACCGCTGGCACGTCGTGTTGCTGGCAGAGGGCATGCGAGGCACAGAGGAAAGCCACTACTGCTCTTCCTACTCCCCGTCCTACTCCTCATGTTGCTGCTGCTACTGCTGCTGCTGCTGCACCGACGACTGCTACCACTACTACCACCAGCGCCTTCCGGAAGTCGCCACAAGTAGCCAGCTCCGCAAAGAAAGCCTCCGAAATGCACAGGGCAAGGCCCAGGCTGAATGCCCCACATAGGCATGTGTTCACATTGAGATTCATGCTGGAACAACAAAGTCATGTGCGCAAGTCTATGGCCAGGCAGATTCAAGCCACACCTTCAGCTGCTGCTTCTGGAGGCCTCTGGTGGCAAGTGGTACACTCTCCCTCATGTCCCTTCAACTTGAAATCTCTCCCCACCTTCGATGTCCTTCAGAAGTTCAGCGCGGAAACGGCGCAACTCCTGTCCCGCGCTGACCGATGCCTTATGCTTTTGTTGGCCATGGGCCCAACCGCTGCGCCCTGCTGCGCCCCTCCCCGTGCCCGTCTAAGTCTTGAAACGGCCCCAACATGCTGAGACACTTCGCTTTCAGAAACCTCAAAATGACACCCATTTTGTAGGCAGCCTTCTGGAGAAGATCTTGCAACTCATTGGCCACACAGGGCGCTGGCGTCTCATCCACTTCAGCCTGGGACGAGGGCGCTCGGACACAGCCAGCACGTGCTCAAACTGCGTGACGAGGCTTGGGCAGGTCGGGTTCGAAGGAAAACAAGAGATGCACCGTGCCTGTTCCGTCCAGAAGGGCCACATGGTGGCCGAGAGCAGCGGCCCAGTATGTGGGCTAAATTCAATCAGGACTCGGTGGCTTTGGATGATTCTGCGGATGTGGCCTCCGTGGATGCCATCCGGAACTGCTTGCATATGGACACAGCGCCGTGTGTGCAGACTCTGCGATCTTTGAGAGAAGCTGGCTGACAGAGTCGGAGCAAAAGTGAATCTAGTGAACTCATCCCGCTTCGGCTGCTGAGAGCGCGGCACAATAACCAGCCTACCACTACATGTAAGGGCGGTGCAAAACCGAAGTCGGTGTGTGCAAAGCATGGACTTTGTGTGGGGTCTTCAATTCCTTCGGTCTGAATTTGGGGTCTTGGGCCTTTCCAAACTGCGTCCAACGGGGTGTGAAAAAAAAAACACACACTTAGGCAGACATCGTGCCAACTTCACTGGCTCAAGTCTCGATGTGAGCTGAAACAGAATTGCAGCTGAAGATTGATACTTGTGTGTGGAGCTCAATGACCTCAGTTACTCTTTCATGTATTGTTTTGCTATCGTGTTTTCTGCTTTTGGCTTTTGGTTCTGATTGTTGACTGTGGTTTGCGTGTGTTACAAGAAGGGACAAGAAAACTGCAAGGGCGAGTCAGAAAAGGATAAGTCTCTTGGAGAGAATACCATGTATGTATATGTATATTCTGTATATACATATATATATATATATATGAAATTAAAAAAACATAAACAAAACGAACAAGTAGGCATACACATATGCATGTCCATATTGAAGAGCACAGCCCTGGCAGCCCTTGCACGCGTGCATTCCGGGGCTGCGCAGATTAATATGTTGATGCACATCATTCTTGTTGCTTCCCCAGGCCCACTCGAAATACAATCTGTCCGCTTTAGTTGGAAAAGAACATGAATGAAAACGGACTGTCTAACTGTACTGCTGAACCGAAGACTAGTGCGCCACCGCCATGAGGTGCAAACAACTGGGACAAGTCCAAGACTCATGGGATCCAGGCGACTTCACCCAACCCGCAAGGAGCAATACCGGGGCGCATTTCAAACTTCTGTCTGTTCATGCCTTTGTTCAGGCGCATTCCGGAAAACCGAAAGTGTGGGCTCATTCAGGTCTCTAGAGGCCCTTCTTTAATTGTGGTAGTCCAGGCGCTAAAGCTGATCTGAGAATCGCGCAGGGTCGATTGGCAATCTGAGAAGCGAGGCACGCATTTTGAACATTTGAAGCATGCAACAACGATCTTGATCCTTCCCGAGATTCGAGTTGGATGACCCCAAACGCAGGAACCATTAACATGCGTGCGAGCGCTTGTCCATTCTCCATGTCCAGAGTACTTTGAGTGCTACCACACCACCTGCCGGCTGTGTGGAAGAGACTTTTGCGGGTTGAGGTTGGCTGAGGGTCGTTGGTTGATGCTGATGCGCTGTGAATGTGACCCCTGCAAAGAACGCCACCTCAGAGCACGGTCTCTGAGAGCACATACTTATCAGACACCTGAAAGCTCTGCATTTTCCGGACTCGGCCCTGGGACCTCAGCGGTTTTCCGCCGAGTCGACAGGCGAGACGGATGGGGGAGGAGACGAGGGGATGAGACGGGGGGAGGACTTCGAATTCGGAATATCCCCCCTCCCTGCGAGACGATCTCACACCAAAGACAAATCTCCAAGGAATCTCACCCCAAAATGTCCCCCAATTGTCCCCAATGTGTTAAATTTGGTGAGACGATCAGAGACCGCAGAACGCTCTCACCGTCGGAAGGCGGAGGAGAAGGCGATGCTGGGCCTCAGATGGCTCTCGGCTTCTCCGAACTCTAAAAAGCAGTCAGAGAGAACTCTGAGAGGGCCATGGGGGGGCTCTTTTTTGACATCACCTAGAGGCCTTCTCTCCTATGGGGAGGCACCGGGTCACCGCGTCACGCGAAGAGCACACACTGAACGCCGGTTCCCCAAAAAAGGCCTCGAAGCCATAGAACGAAACCCGCTCGCCAGCGCGAATCTTGCGCCCCCCCGCGCTGTTCAATACTTGTACGGGAGGAACCGGGGAGTCCAGACGCTTTGCAACAGGGGAGAGAAAAGTACATGTAGTAGTATTGAAATACAGCAACACATCAAAAAACATACAGTAATGGGTGTCCATCAGGCGGGCCTTTCCTGTGGATCTCTTGTGTGCTTGTCTCGCAACCACTCAGCTCAGAGGGCGTAAAGATCACAGCAATGCACTTCGCGCTGAGAAGCAATGCAGCAAGGAGTGGGATCCTGACATGCCAATCCACTGACCATGCGGCGCACATACGCCCGGCCCCAGCGGGTTCTGCTGTTCTGCTCCACATCGATTGCAAAGTGCTTGCCCCTGTGCACTCTCCGCTACCGAAACGGCAGGGGGCCAAGGCAAAGGCCCAGGCAAATTGGCAAAGGGGGAAGACTTCGCGAAGGCTCCAAGAGCAAGAGAATGGCACGTCCGAGAGGGTAGCTCTAAAACGCCCGCTCCACATTTTACATGACTCCACGAAGTTACTCCAAAAGCTCTGGCGGAGCCGGAGCCGGCGAGGGGTGGGGGAGAGAACTTGGTTCTGACTCTCAAGGTGAGCCGGGCGGCGAGTAGCTTTGCGGCCCAGGGCTTCTCTGCACTCCTGCTGCACCATCATCGACAGAGCACACAACGCATCAAGAGGAGAGAGAGAGAGAGAGCAGCTCTCAGAATCATGGAAAGAGGAAGCTCAGAGAAGCCTTTTACAAAGGTTCTCAAAGCGTAAGGTACTAGAGCAAGGCCCAGTGCGGCCTGGGCTTGCGGCTCTGAAGCGCTTCGCTGTGCCCATGACACCTGAGACAGCTTCTGACTGAGAGCGCTCTTCGGCTTCGCACCGCTTTGCGCGCTTCGCTGCAGAGGCGACATGCCTTTAAGGGTTCAAGCAGTTCAAGCCCCCGCCTCCCCGGATCTCTCTACCACGCATATCTCGCGCGTTGGCGATGTAGCCATCGCCATACCTGGAGAGCCCAGTCCAAGAGGCGACTCTAATGGTACACGTTCGACATGTGAAGGCACGTTCCCGTCTCGTCCGATTTTCGGATGTACTGGAAGGTGTCACCTGTGCGCTGGCTTATCCCAACATTTTTGGACCATCCCAGATTTCTTCCAATACTTCTAGCTCCTGTCTCAGACTTGCTGAAGTTCGTGCGTCTCTGAGCTGCTCTGAGTATGAAATTTGGCTCCAACAACGATACAACAAGGATACGGCGGTCTCCTGTGGAGGCAGCTGAGATGCCCGCGAGGGGCCTGCGTGAAGCTGACCCGCCTCTGGAAACAGCGCACAACGAAAACTTCCTCAGAAACTCAAGACGAGTAGCATTTACAGCGAAACCTTCCTCAGAAATTCAAGCCGAGTAGCAATTTGCAACGAAACTTTCCTCAAAAATGCAAGACACGTAGCAATCGCGACCAAACCTGCCTCAGAAGCTCAAGACTAGTAGCATTTACAACAAAAACTTCCTCAGAATTTCAAGGCGAGCAGCAATAGCAACGAAACCTTCCTGAGAAATTCAAGAGACACGTGGCAATTGCAACGAAACCTTCTTCAGAAACTCAAGACACGTAGCACTTAGAGCAAACCTTCCTCAAAATCAAGACATGTAGCAAGTGCAACACAACTTTCCTAAGTCCAGTAGCATGTACATCGAAACCTTCGTTAACTTGTGAATGGATTTACCTGACGACACTCTACTAAGGATAGAGTCTAACACAGTACACTTTGCATTGCAAAAGCCACGTCGTGAGCGGGCAATCCAGGCAAAACTGCCAAAACTATGCTCTGGCCAAAAGATACATGTGTGAGGATCGTGAGCACGTCGTATGCCTCACTGAAGTAAGTGATTCAAAAGAAGCGCTTCTTTTCTCCATCGACAAAACTGAGAGGCCGCTACCACCACAAAATGTGGACCTGGACTCTAAGACTGGACCCTCCCTCACGGATTCCCTCCACTCCTCAACTCTTCATCTTAGGCTTCAGGGGGGCAACCAATGATCGACGCGAACCAAGAGCATTGTGTCTCGCAATCAGTTCTCCAACACGATCCAACTATACGGCCTTTAAAATACGGCCTATAAAAATTCAGAAGCTTAACTACATGTGCCGTGCTGTCTCCAGATGGATCCGATCCTTCTGGGCCATCATAAGACCAATCGGCTCAGCAAATAGTTTTAGTTGCATCGTTCACTCGCCTTCAGTGATGCTCAGATCCCAAGAATGAAAGTCAAAAGAGCTGATCCATTCCGGAGAGCGTCGGAGTTCTTACAGGTCCTTCATCTACATACTGGAGTTTAGCCGGAATTTCGTTCTGTACTTCCGAGCAACAGCCTCGAAAGCCTCACCAAAAAAAACAAGCGGCTGAACCCCTCTCTCGATGCCTCTGGCCAATGCCCGGGGTATGGCCTCAGCGAGCTGTGTGTGAGCTGGGTGAGAGCTGAGGCTTGCTGCGGGCGTTCTTGTCTTGAGCCGCGCTACGAAAAT